GTCCCAAAGAAGCCACCCCTTGCTGTTTTGAGCCATGCCCAAGTGCACAGCCCATATCGCCTTGGCACCGAGCTTGTTGTGCCGAAGATGCTTAGGCACGAGCGCCATGCACATGCACCCGAACACCCGAAGCATATCCACCTTTGGCTTCCTTCCAACCCACTCCACATAGGGCACCCATTTGTCTGCTCCCACATGAGTCAAAGCTCTGTTCTTGGCCACACACGCACTCCGCACCGCATCAGGCCAGAAATAGTCGGGTAGCCCGGCTTCAATGAGCAACCCACGCGCCGTCTCCGTGATTGTCCGGTTCGCTCGCTCGGCGATGCCGTTCATTGCAGGGGAGTATGGCATGGTAAGGGAGTGCCTTATGCCATTCTTCTTCAGCCACAATGAGAACTCCTTGCTCAGGAACTCTCCCCCGCGATCGGTGCGAATTGCCTTCACTAGCCGGTCTTGTTGCCGCTCCACCATCGGCAACCAATCGGTCTTCACCGTTTCAGCCACGTCACTCTTCTTGGACAGCACGTACACCCAAGTCATGCGAGTGTAGACATCCACAATGGTGAGAAAGTACTCAGCTCCAGCAGCTCCAAGCTTCAAGGGGCCCACCACGTCCATCACCACCTCATCAAGTGGTGCCTTAGCCGTTGCCTCCGAACTAGAGAACGGGTAACGGTGAATTTGGCTTGCATGCACGTTGGGCAGCCAAGTACCTCATCGGGCTCCCCCTTCACACGTATGCCAGCAACCATCTCATCCTTCACTAGCTGCTGCAAGATGGGCAGGGCCACATGCCCCATTCGCCGATGCAAGGTGAGCCAATCACACTCCCCCGTAGCCGAAGTCGGATTGGAGAATGCCGCACTCGCAATGGTGCCCCACATGCTCTCTCCGTACTCCTCCTCCGCTACTGCCTTGGGGTTCTCCTCACCCTTGTGCTGCTCCTTGGCTGCTGCACCACTCTCCTCATGTTCGCCAAGCTTGCTGGTCCCTCCAAGATTGCACTTCTTAGACTCAATCTCCTTAGCGCGACCGTTCGTGCCATCGCCGCTACCAACCGCTTCACCCTTGGTGCTGATGCTTGCTGCCACTTGCCTCTCCTTAGGCATGGGGACCACAGGGATTTGCCACATCTCGTTGTAGACATCTCTATCCTCGTGAAGGTCCCAAAGAATCCGCTCGCCAAGCCTCGCGGTGTAGGTCTTAGCTCCCTTCGAGCTCGTGTCCATGCCGGCCTTTTGCAACCGCCGCACGGAAATCAGGTTGGCAGCAAGGTTGGGCACCCAAAGCACGTTCTTGAGGCCCACCATCTTCCCATCAGCACCCTTGAACATGGCCTTGCCCATGCCTTTCACCTCTGCTCGCTGCCCCAAAGCCGATGTCACATGCTTCACCGGTGACGGCTCAAGTTCGGTGAGCAAGTCCGCACGAGGTGTCATGCTATAGGTAGCGTCGCTATCGATCACCCAATAGTCCAGGGAGTGTAGGGTGACTTTCCCCACAGCTGCTGGCTCCTCAAAGCTTTCATCCTTCTCTGGACCAGCCGGTGCTTGTGTGGACACGAAGAAGAATTGACCCGGAAAGCGATCGTCCCTCGACTCGCTCTCGTTGCCAGCAATCTTCATACTTGCAGCACCACCTCCGCGACCGCCACGGCCTCCACGGCCTCTTCCTCTCCCTCCTCCTGCTCCTCTACCCTCTTGAGCAGGAGTCCATCCATCAGGGAGTTTGTAGCAATCGCGCCACATGTGTCCGCTCTTGTGGCAAAAATGACACTCGTGGTCGAACCGTCCGCGACCGCGTCCGTTGTTCTTGTTGTCATTGCCGTATCCGCTACTCCCGCGGCCTCCGTTGAAGTTGCTGCCTCCAAACCTTCCTCCTCCACGTCCTCTGCCCCTTCCACGGCCATATCCACGGCCGATGCTTGCTGCCCCGGCGCCATCCGCACTCGCCAACTCACGGCGACGGAAATCCTCTTGAAGGATCGCTCGCTTCACGTCTTCGAGCGAGAGGCGGGGCAAGTCACGATTGAGGTTGATGATGAGCGAGGATCATGACTCTGGGAGTAAGGCCAGCAACTTGGTCTTCTTTTGGAGCTCACTGTAGTTCAAATCAGCTCCCTCAAGCCGCGTCAACAAGTCGAAGAATTTCTGCACCCCTTCTTCAACCGCTTCGTCTTCTTCAATTCGTAGTGCCGCCATTTGCCGTTCCAACACCACCGCTACCGCCGCTGTTGCAGGAGCGTGTACACCCTTGAGAGCAGCCCATGCCTCTGGTTCACGCTGGAATGGCTTGATGTGACGGATCTGGCTGCTCCCCAACGCTTGCCCAAGTAGGAGATAGCCTTGTGCGCTCTTCCGCACCCACGGGCTCTTCTCCGGGTCGTTCTCGGGGCGCTTCTCCGTTCCTTCCATCACCTCCAGCAGGTCATAGTGGTCAAAGATGTTCTCCATCTTGAAGGACCATTCAGCAAAGTTGTCACCGTTGAACTTGTCAAGCCCAAACACCCTAGGCTCATCCCTAGGTGGGCCAAGACTTGGTTGCATGGGCGCCATGGCTGAATCACGGGGTTGGCCTTGAGCTTGAGCTTCTCCACTGCCACCAGCACCTCTGCCACCCCTTTCCTCAGGTCCAGCCATTGTCGAAACTGCTCCAAGGGGCTCTGATACCACTTGTTATAGTCACAATAGGCTTGAATGTGCCTAAAACGAAAGATAGAGAGCACAGACGGATTTCTGCACAGCGGCTTCAAACGTTGATAGCGTTCTGCTCACAGCTGCAAATGACTTGATTCAAATTGGATCTGGAGCGTCTTTACGTCGTATACAATAAGCAATTTAGATTGCACGATTTGATAATGAATTGACGACACAGCGTCGGTTTGAACGAACGGTACTATGGCAGCCACTATAGTCTTATAACACAAGATAGGAAGAGTTACGAGTTGGGAATGACTCCCAGCTCCTACAAACCCCAAGAGCCGAGGTACAGTGATGTGGAACAGTGCCACACTGTCCCCAACCACGAAGGATCTCGAAACTACCCTCCACAAGGGCCTACACCAAGAGAAATGTTACACTACACAAAGTAATGCAACTATTCTCACTATCTTAAAGTTTACCCTTTTGGAGAGCTTCGAAATCACTTGATTCTTGAAACCAAGGCTCTGGTTCTTCAAGGTAAATTCTTCCTTGAGTTCTAGGAAGTCTGCTGCGCACACCTGCGACACGCCGAACGTTCCACACACGACAAAATAGAAAAACCGCACACGACACGCAAACGACGACGTGACACGCGACTAGCGATAACTCGCTATTGACTCGACACACACATTCAAAATCATGCCTCATCATTCACACACTATTGTAAGCATAAAATTATATTATTTCATGCCCTCATACCATTCCATGCACACACGCATGCACGCACACGGACAACAAGCCGAATGCAAACCGTAGGGTTGCACCAACACCCCGGCTCTGCCCCGGCCCTGCTCCGGCTCTGCCCCGGCCCTGCACCTGCCCTGCCCCGGCCCTGCCCCGGCCCTGCCCCGGCCCTGCTCCGACCCTGCCCCGGCCCTGCCCCGGCCCTGCCCCGGCTCTGCCCCGGCCCTGCCCCTGCCCTGCCCCGGCCCTGCCTCGGCCCTGCCCCGGCTCTGCACCGACCCTGCCCCTGCCCTGCTCCTGCACTGTCGCGGCCCTACCCCGGCCCTGCCCCGGCCTCGCCACTGGTAAGAGTGCTGCCCTGCCGAGCCGCGCCGCCCTGCCTAGCCTGCTGCTGCACCTGTCATGGCTAGTCTCAATGTTCTTACCTTTGATGCTGAGGGTCGTGCTGTTGACTTTGAGGTCTGGCTAGATGATCTGCAGCTTTTCCTACAGTGCGATAGCAAGGATGGCCTCTCACTGTTCGATCTCACGTCTGGTGCCTCTACCGCCCCTGCTGCTGATGCTGACAGTACTATTCGCTCGCAGTGGCTCACGCGCGATGCTGCTGCTCGTCTTGCTGTGCGCAATCTCCTGCCGTCTACTGAGCGCGCGCACTTTAGTCTATACAAGAGTGCTAGGGCTCTGTACGACGCTGTAGTTGCACGCTACTCCTCCCCTACCACTGCTGCCCTCAGCCGCCTCATGCTACCGTACCTCTTTCCTGACCTTGCCGCCTTTGCCACTGTTGCTGACCTAGTTGCTCACCTCCGCACTAGTGACGCTCGCTACCGCGCTGCCCTTCCCACTGAGTTTCTTCCCACGAACTCCCCCCCCATGTACATCACCCTTTACTACCTAGTCACCCGCCTCCCTGACTCTCTCTCCTCAGTCAGGGATCACTTCCTCTCCCTTTGCCCCACCGAGCTGACTGTCGACTTGCTAGAGGAGCGCCTTGCTGCAGCTGAGAAGAGTATCTTAGCTGTAGGTGCTTCTCGCGGCGACCGTCGCACCCCCTTCTTTGAGGGGTGTTCCCCTGTTCCCCTTCTCCCCTCTGTTGCCTCTGCTGCTGCTGTCGACCTCGTTGGCACTGAGGAGGTCGGCGCTGCGTCTGCCTCTACTGGGCGACGCCGCCCCGGCAAGGGCAAGGGCAGCAGGGGTGGTGGAGGGGGCGGTGGGGGAAGCGGTGGGGGCGGTGGAGGAGGTGGAGGTGGTGGTGGGGGTGGTACCGGGAGTGGGGGAGTCGGTGGCGGCAGTGGAGGCCGTGGCGGCGGTAGCGGAGGGGGTGGAGGCGGCGGCAGCGGTGGTGGAGGTAGCGGAGGAGGTGGTGCTGGTCGCGGTGCAGCTACGCCGCGTGGAGGCCTTGGTGGCAGCCAGCGCCAGCAGCAGCAGCGCACCCGTGAGACCCCGTCGGTTCAGCAGCTTTGTGAGTGGTACGCTGGGCGTGGGAGGTCTGGGGGTGCGGGTCCCTGCTCTTACGTTCTTTGCACCGGCGCTCGGAGTGGGGAGGTGTGTGGTCTCCCACACACCACGCAGTGCTGCTTCGGCCGCTTGACTGACGCTTGGCGTGCCCAGTTTCCAGACGCTGTTGAGCTTCCTCGTTGGCATGATCTGCTTCTGCAGAATGTGCCTATCTTTGATCTAGACTTTGATGCTATCCTTGCTGCCATGTATGCTTTTGCTGATATTACTGAGGGTGACTGTTACCTGCGTGTCCCGCCCGACCCGGGCACTGTGGCTGCTGCTCTGGGTGCTAGTGCGGCTGCTGCTCTAGGTGCTCGTGCGTCTGCTGCTCCAGGTGCTGGTACGTCTCCTCTCTCTGGTACTGCACCTACTGAGTCCTTTCACACCTTCACACTTGACTCTGGTGCTTCGCGCTCTTTCTTTAGAGACAGCACCACGCTTACGCCGCTCCGTCGGCCTGTTGCGGTCTCCCTTGCTGACCCCTCCGGGGGCCCAGTCCTTGCACACTCCTCCACAGTTCTACCGTGTCCTGCGGCCCCGTCGGGCTTGCTGTCGGGACTCCACCTCCCCTCGTTCTCTACGAACTTGGTGAGTGGAGCTGACCTCCAGGACGCGTGGGTTGACCAGTTCACCCCTGGAGGTCAGCGTGTGACCCACTGCACTTGCTCTCGGACGGGCCGCCACCTGGCCACGTTCACCCGTCGGCCAGGGTCGAGTCTGTACACACTGACTACTGCGCCTCCTCCGGTCCCTGCGTCTGGTCAGGTAGCTGCGTCCAGTCAGGTGTTTGCTGCTGCGTCCAGGTCTAGTCCTGCGTCTGCCCCCTGCTCGTGTCGTCCTCTGGCGCACGAGACTCTCCTTTGGCACCACCGCCTTGGTCACCCCTCCCTGCCTCGTCTTCGAGGTATGGCCTCCCGTGGTTTTGTCTCTGGCCTCCCCAGGTCCCTCCCTCCCCTTCCTCCGGGGCCTGCCCCCACCTGTATTCCTTGTGTCGAGGGCCGGCAGCGTGCCGCTCCTCACTCCTCCTCGTTTCCTCCGACTGAGGCCCCTCTGCAGACTCTTCACATGGACGTGTGGGGCCCAGCCCGCATCCGTGGATGGGGTCACGAGCGTTACTTTCTGCTGGTCGTTGACGACTACTCGCGTTACACCACAGTCTTCCCCTTGCGCAGCAAGGGTGATGTCACTGAGGTGTTGATCGACTGGATCCGCGGTGCTCGTCGCCAGCTTAGTGAGAGTTTCGGCTCCGACCTTCCTGTTCTGCGTCTGCACTCAGACAGAGGCGGGGAGTTTTCGTCCGACCTCCTGAGAGCCTTCTGTCGTTTGGAGGGCATCCGCCAGACGTTCACGCTTCCGGCCTCCCCGCAGCAAAATGGGATTGCTGAGCGCCGCATTGGCATGGTCATGGATGTCGCTCGTACGTCCATGATCCATGCGGCTGCTCCCCATTTTCTGTGGCCATTCGCGGTTCAGTACGCTGCGCATCAGATCAACCTTCAGCCTCGTGTCTCCTTGCCGGAGACCACACCTACTCTGCGGTGGACGGGGAAGGTTGGCGATGCGTCCGCGTTCCGTGTCTGGGGATCTCGAGCTTTTGTCCGCGATACTACAGCGGACAAGCTGTCCTCCCGTGCCGTTCCCTGTGTCTTCCTTGGCTTCCCTCCTGACGCACCCGGGTGGCAGTTCTACCACCCCACCTCGCGTCGTGTTCTGTCCTCTCAAGACGTCACGTTTGACGAGTCGGTGTCGTACTACCGTCTCTTTCCCTACCGCACTGCCTCTCCCCCCCCCCCCCCCGCCACTCTTCCTGGCACCAGGTACTCCCCTGGTAGACTCCCTCCCCCCCCAGGGTCCTGCCCCCTCAGGTGTGTCCCAGGTAGACCCTGCCGAGCCGGTCGAGGTAGCTGTCGCCTCAGGTGCTGCTAGGGGTGCTGAGACTGGGGGTGCTGAGTCTGGGGGTGCTGAGACTAGGGGTGTTGAGTCTGGGGGTACTACACCTGCGCGTGCTGCGTCTGGAGGTGCTCTAGGTGTCCCGTCGCGGCGGGAGCCTCTCTCTCCACAGCGCCTTCGTGAGTGGTACTCTCGGCGCGGTCGGGTTGCTGCTGGTGCTGGGGCTGCTGGAGGTGCTGGAGGTGCTACTGGTGCTACTGGAGGTGCTGGCGCTGCTGGAGGTGGTGCTGGAGCTGGAGCTGCAGGAGGTGCTCCGGGTGCTGGTGCTGCTGGAGGTGCTGCTGGTGCTGGAGCTGCTGGAGGTGCTACTGGTGCTGGTGCTGCTGGAGGTACTGGAGGTACTACTGGAGCTACTAGAGGTGCTGGCGCTGCTGGAGGTGGTGCTGGAGCTGGAGCTGCTGGAGGTGCTCCAGGTGCTGCTGGAGCTGCTGGAGGTGCTGCTGGGACTGGAGGCCCTGGGGCTGAGGGTACCGGTTCTGTCTCTGCTGTCTCTGGAGGCGCTGCGCGGCCGCGGCTGTACTACGTTCCGCTCCTTCAGCAGGTTCTTGGCTCCCCGCTTTCTCCTGGTCCTCCTCCTCCTTTCCTGAGTCCACCGCCTGTCCAGTCCCAGTCGCAGTTGCAGCGGGCCTCTCCGCTGCCTGGTCCTTCTCCTTACTCCGGTCCGTCTAGAGGTCTTACGGAGCGTCGGGAGCCTGAGTCTCGTCCTGTGTCGCCTGCGTCTCGTTCTGCGTCGCCTGTCCGTCCTGTTCGCACTGGTCGTGTTTCGCGTCCGCGTCTTCCTCTTGTCCCAGGCACTCACTCTATGACACTGCGTCCTTCTACTGCTCCACAGCGTGTCCCTCTGCCCTCTCCTCCTGCGTCCTCTCTTCCTGACGGTCCGGACCCGGAGTCTGACTCCCTTCGTGCTGCTAGTCCTACTGTCACCCGCTTTCTGGCCACTGCTGTCACTGACCCTCTGTTTGAGTCCTCTGCTGCGTCTGCTCTTGTTGCTGAGCTTGTTGACTTTGCTGCGGCCTGTCGCCTAGACTACGCTGCTAGTCTTGTTACTGAGTCTGCGTCTGCGTCTGTCTGTCCTCCGTCCGTCGGGTGTGAGTGTGCTCTTGGCACGGACGTCCTTGAGGACAGACAGGAGGACCTTGAGTGTTTTGCTGCTGCTTCACCTCATCTCGTGTCCATGCTGCTTGCCCCTGAGGGAGACCCGGAGATGGCTTCCTGGAAGTCCACAGGCACCTACGTAGACGAGGTTCCCCCACCTGGGGCGAACATTGTCAGTGGCATGTGGATCTTCAGGGTGAAGCGGCCGCCGGGTTCTCCGCCTGCCTTCAAGGCGCGTTATGTTGCACATGGCTTCAATCAGCGACAGGGAGTTGACTTCTTTCAGACCTTCTCCCCTACCCCGAAGATGACCACTCTTCGGGTACTGCTGCACGTTGCTGCTCAGCGTGACTACGAGCTCCACTCGCTTGACTTCAGCACAGCCTTCCTACAGGGCAGCCTGCACGAGGAGATCTGGCTGCGCCGCCCACCTGGCTTCACTGGGTCGTTTCCTACTGGTACCCAGTGGAGCCTCCGGCGGCCAGTCTACGGTCTCCGCCAGGCGCCCCGTGAGTGGCACGACACGCTCAGGACGACTCTTGCTGCTCTTGGTTTTGCTCCTTCCACTGCTGACCCTTCTCTGTTTCTACGCACTGACGCTACTCTTCCACCGTTCTACGTTCTCGTGTACGTAGACGACCTCGTCTTTGCTACTGCTGACACGGAGGCACTTGCCCACGTGAAGTCCGAGCTGCAGAAGAGACACACGTGCACAGACCTGGGTGAGCTGACAAGCTATCTTGGCTTGCGGATCATCCGGGACAGAGCACAGCGCACCATTACCTTGACTCAGTCACACATGGTGCAGCAGGTCCTTCAGCGCTTCGGCTTCACCTACTCCTCGCCACAGTCCACTCCTCTGCCTACCGGTCACTCGCTCTCAGCTCCACCTTCGGACGAGTCCGTAGAGCCGAGTGGCCCGTATCCAGAGCTTGTGGGCTGCCTCATGTACCTGATGACTTGCACACGACCTGACCTCGCATACCCTCTCAGCCTTCTGGCTCGCTACGTGGCTCCCGGCAGGCACCGAAAGGTGCACTGGGATGCTGCGAAGAGGGTGTTGCGATACTTGTGCAGTACATCGGGCATGGGGCTCGTGCTTGGAGGACGGGCTCGAGTTGTCCTCACTGGTCACGCTGACGCCTCCTGGGTTGACGTCTTGGCTACGCAGCGGTCGTCACAGGGTTACACCTTCAGCCTTGGCTCCGGTTGTCTCCTGGCGGTCTACCCGCTCTTCTTCTGTTCTCAGCTCCAGTTGCGAGGCTGAGATCTACGCTGGCCATGGCTGCACAGGAGCTTCGCTGGCTCACCTACCTGCTGACCGACTTGGGAGAGGCGCCTCGTTCTCCTCCAGTTCTGTACGTCGACAACAAGGCCATGCTGGCCTTGTGTCAGGAGCACAGACTGGAGCACAGAACGAAGCACATTGCTCTGCGCTACTTCCTTGCTCGAGAGTTGCAGCAGCGTGGCCAGCTTCGTCTTGCTTACGTGGCCTCTCAGGCCAACACTGCTGATGTTTTCACCAAGGCACTTCAGCCTTGTGATCATCAGCGTTTCTGTACTGTGTTAGGCCTTGTACCTACTGTGCCTCACTTGTTGACTTCTTGACTCTGCTTGTACTGTACTCTATATACTTATACCTGCATGCTTACACTTGCTAGGTTGTGTTCACTGTATTGCTTGCTTTCCTTTATATAACTCTGCATGTGAACTGGCCTTCTGGCCCTTTGCTTGTGCTCAGACTGTGTGGTGACTTTGTGATCCACCCTGAGTTTGCTTTGTCTTTCTTGACTGGTCTTGTGACCCCTTGTTCTCCCCCACTTTGCCTATGGGGGTGTGTCAAACATATATTTACTATAGTCTGTTTAGGCTGTAGTGGGGTAGTCCTTAGAGGGTACAACACTTTTGTGTTTCCTACTTGTACCCTTCTCATTTCCTAATTCAATCATTCTTTCGTCTATTCTTTCACACCGTTAAAACTCCCCTGCCACGCTCACGCTTGGGCGCCCAGCCCACACGGCAGCATACTATGGAGAAAACTCATCCTCGGCATGCACCCCTCACACAGCATGCCGTCAGCGCACCAGCCGTGCAGAAGGGCACGGCACCTATTGCTGCACATCATCGTGGCCGTCGCCGACGTCGGCCAGACGAACTTGGCCGATGGCGACAGAGCACCGGTGGAAAGCCGGAAAGTGCAGCGCCTTCGTCAGGAAGTCGGCCGGCTGCTCGGTGGTCGGGATGTACTTTAGTACGAATTTCCCGCGCCTCACCATGTGCTGCAGCCAGGCATAGCGTCGCTCCATGTGCTTGAGGTTGCCCGTCAGCCCCAAGCCCTCAGCGACCATAATTGCCGACTTGCTGTCGACGCGGAGGATGGTTGGCTTCCCAGCGTCGAGTAGCTTGAATTCCGCAAGAAGGAAACGAAGTCGGCGTCCCTCCTTGCCTGCATTCGTGGCCGCCACGTACTCTGACTCGGTCGACGACAATGTCGCGCACTTGCTGCGCGAGCTCGACCAGGAGACGGTGGCCCCTCCGTAGACGAACACGTAGCCTCCTGTGCTCGTACGGTTCTGCTTGTTGCCCGCGTCATCGGCGTCCACGTAGCCGATCAGCTCAAGCGACTCTAGTCCACCGCTGAACTCCAAGGCGGTGTCGCGGGTGTCAGCGAGGTAGGCAAGGCAGCGGTCGAACTCGCGCCAATGCTGGTCGCTCCTCACCGTGAGGCCGCTCCCCAGCTTGCTGCAGGCGAACGCGATGTCCGGCCTCGTCGTTGTTGCCGCGAACTGCAGCGAGCCAAACTTTTGCCGGTACTCCTCCTCGCGCTCCTGCGCCTCCTCGTCGTCGAACGTCAGCTCGGCGTAGGCATCAACCGAGACCGGCGTCTTCGGGACTCGACCGCCCTGCTCCTGGTCGACGAAGCGCCTGCGCAGCTTGTCGGCGTAGCTTTGCTGGTGAAGCCACAGCTTCCTCGCTGGCCTGTCGCGCACGATCTCAAGCCCGAGGTACTTGACGACTGGCGAAATCTCGCGCAGCTCGAAGGCAGCCTCCAGCAGCTCCTTTAGCTCCTTCAGCATTGCGGGGCTGCTGCTGGCGGCGAGCAGGTCGTCGACGTAGACCAGCACCCAGCAGGTCACTCCAATGTCGCCGGCCTTGTAGTAGAGCGCCTTGTCGACCTGGCTCTTCTTCCAGCCAGCGCCCAGCAGCACACCGTCGAGTGCCCTGTACCACAGCAGCGGCGACTGCTTCAGCCCGTAGAGGCTCTTCAGCAGCTCACACACCCGGCCAGTCCTATCGTCGAAGTGTTCCGGCTGGTACATGTAAAGCACCCTGTCGAGCTTGCTCTGCAGGAAAGCGTTCTTCATGTCGAGCTGCACCAGATTGAGGTCAAGGACGGCGACGATGCTGAGGAAGATCCTCAGCGTAACGTAGCTGCTCACCGGCGAGTATGTCTCGTTGTAGTCGGCACCGTACACTTGCGTGAAGCCCTTCACGACCAGCCTCGCCTTCTCGCGCTCGACGGTGTCGTCAAGGCGGTACTTGGTCGTCAGCACCCACCGGTTCTTCATGATGTTCACCCCGTGTGGGCGTTCGACCAGCTCCCAAGTGCCCATGTCGACGAGGCTGCGGATCTCTTCTTCCATGGCAGCCTTTACCGCCTCACCCTTCCAGCTCGCCAGCGCCTCCTTTACCGTCATTGTGGCGATGTCCCAGCAGTGTTCGGGGTCTGCGTGCATGTCGGGGTCAAGCTCCAGCAGTTCGTCATCCTCCTTGGCGTCGTCGTACAACAGGTCATCGTCGACCTCGCCGTACACAATGGTGAAGGCAGCTGGCAGTAGGCAGGCGTGGAGGCTCAGCCGCTCCGGCGGCCGTCGAGCTCGACCAGTGCGTCGTAGCTCAGGCTTTGTGATTGGCACCTCCACCACGTCGCTGTCGGTGGACTCTTCTCCTGCCGACAGCTCCCCTTCTTCGTCGACTGTCAAGTCGCCAACCAGCTGCTTCGAACCTTCGACCAGCTGCTCACTTCCTGCTGACATTGGCAGCTCCCCTGTCGATTGCACCCTTGCTGCTGCCTCTTGTTCGACCGGCTCCCCTGTCTGCTGCTCCCCTGTCGTCGACGGCTTCCCATCCTGGTCGACGAGCTTGGCGTCTTGTCGACCGCCGGCGATGCCACTGGCCGGTGCCACAGGCGATGCCTCAATGCTCCCCTCATCGCCGGTGGCCGACACAGGTGTCGACGCAGGCCGATCTACGACGGGGAAGGGAGGAGCAAGAACCGGGGAAGGTGGAAGGACCTCCACAACATCCTCATCAGCAGGCTCATCGACTTCAGCGAGCAAAGGAACCGTCGCCGTCGAGTATATTTAGAATGTACTAGTCTACCTTCTTCAAGTCGTTCAGTCAGTTGTTTGTTGCTTACTACGGTGAAGACTCGGGTTCGAATCCCAGTGCGCACACCACACCTCATGGTTCCTCTCCCCATCATGTTCTTGTGTTTTCCCCTTACACTATATCCCCCTCTTCACCCGAACTCCCCCCTCATTCAGTGTTTTCCTATTCCAGACACCGAACACTTTGCAATGAAAAGACCTCTCTGCGGAGAATCACTCTACAACGGTAGTGAGCTAGACTATGGGGTTGGCACGAACTACTAGAGGTGATCGTAGCTTTGCCTAGTTCCTTGGTGCTTGCACAATCACGAGAGAATTGGCAAGAATTTCCACTAGCAAAGTTGGAGTTACAGAATTGTTTTTACAAGCAATGACAAGAATGACTACATCAGGCACCTAGCAACTCTGCAGCTAGCCTGGTCGACAGACAGCACAGCATGGTCGACCGCCTGCCAGCGTTGCGTAGAGGAGCCGCGCCAGCACTGCAGAAAGGCGACCTGCCAACACAGCAGGTCGACGGTGTGCCAACGCTGCAGCAGAGCAACTGTCCAGCGTTACCCCGTAGAAGACAGCAGTGTGCACGCTCGCAGATGCGCGCAGACGATTGGCCCGACTTGCACCGTTGTGCATTCGTCGGCTATTGTCTGCGCCTGA